AGTCAGAAATATTAAGCGTTTAACATATAATTTAACAAACTTTTATCGCCAAATATTAAATCTAATTAAAGCGTTAATTTGTACCGATTTGGTTACATTGAATAAAATTGTAGCTTCTGCGCAAGCAATTTCAGAAAGGTACAAATATCAAAGAAATGATACAATTCTGAGCGAAGATAATATTATTGCTAAGTATCGTAATGCATTTAAGGTTTTTACTAAACGTTTAATGGATCTACCGCGTCATGTTTGCGTGTCTTGTGAGAGACTTTGTTATAAAAGAAATGTTTCTCAAATTAATAAGCTGAAAACAGAAATAGCTATCCCTATTTGGAAAGATTTATTGATGCAATTAAAGCAACAAAAAATTAGTCTACATTATATATGTGATTATTGCGAACGAAAATTTCGTAACGGTCAAATGCCTGCGTATTGTATTTTGAATAATCTCGGCGTAAGTGATGTGCCTGAAGTTATATCATCTCTTAACACATTTGAAAAGATTTTTATACAGAGAGCCAAAACATTTCAAACTATCGTTAAAATGGGAAATGTTATAAACAACAAAATACCTCAGAGGCAAATGATTCAAAAGGTCAAGGGTAGAACTTTTCATTTACCACTTCCATTACAGGAAACGTTGAACAAATTGTGTTGTGATACTGATCCAATAAATATGAATCATGAATTATACGTCTTAGTTAGAAGTATTCCGACTAATTGTAAATCAAAAATTATTTGGGAAGACATAGTAGATGTTAAAAAAGTATTTGATGCGTTAATATGATTAAAACAAAATAATCCTTTATATTCTCATATTATATTACCAAATACTCACAATGAATTATGTTTAAAAAAATTAAATCATTCAGAATTTGAAATGCAAGAAATAGATAATAAAAAATTTGTAGCAGATAATGAGGATGAGTCATCGAGTGTTTTAAAGATTGAAATGAAGGAGATAAAAAATGTTAATCTAAAAAATAATCAGCGTGGGGCAATGTTGACTCAAGTTATTGATAATAATGATAATAGTTATTATGAGCAGTATACTATATATCCTTTATATGAAAGAAAATTAAATGAAACAGCAACTGCATTATATCAAATGTTAAAAATTCAACATTTACCCTTGGATAATCGTAAAAAATGTTTGGACTTATTATGCTTTCCAGATTTATATCCTTAGGGTATTAATGGACAACATGAAACCAGACAAATTAAGCTTCATGATCACGAATTTATTAAATGTTCTTTAAAATCTAAACATCCACGATATAGATTAAATCAACAATATTTATTTTAATTGTTAAATAATGCAAATATTCGTCAATTAACTCACTGAGGATGATTTGAAAACACTAACGTTGTGCAAAAATTTAAAATACTTAAATTTAAGCCATTCGAATTATATGACACCTGATATCGTTTCCCAATTTATTGTGGAATGTTCTGAATTGATCGAGATTGATCTCAGCTATTGTAATTTGAAGATTAGAGAAAAACAACTTATGATGGCTATCAGTCTTCTCGAGATACGAGTATCACTTAATTGCTTCCATGAAAATTTAGTAAGTACCAAAAAAATTTTATTAAAAAGAATATATTTAATTTAGAGTCAGTGGCACACCTATCAAGCTGTCATAAC